TGAAGAACAAAACGACAGCAACTAGTCTGTTCCCCTTCCCCCAATTCCCCAGCACTGTTCCCATCCCCCCAATTCCCCAATAAAAATCTTTAAAAAAAAAGAAAACCAGGAAAAAAAATAGGATTAAGAAAATTGCTATCAAATTTGATAACACAGGCAGATAACTGTTAAAATGTTTTCCCAACTCCACTCCAGTGTGTCTGTTTGTTTATTTACATATGTACAAACAGCTCTACTATGTCACTGTCAACCACATGCTGCAATTAACCAAGATCAAGTCAGGATTCATGATGGAAACAAAAACTATTATCCTGAGATAACTAAAGCTTCATAATACATTAAAAGTATATAAAATAAAAGAGTACCAAATTTAAACACTTCATAAAATTTAAAGGTTTTAGCTTTGTATATCCCACTTGGATGTACATATATATTAATTTATATTTTTGAGTATATGCTTATTAAAAACAAAAAACAAAAAATTAAAAAATTTCTAAAACATATGCCATAAAGTAGCCTGGTGTTCTGGTCCTCCAGTCAGAACTATCAAGACTCACCTTCAAGTTTTTTAAGCAGTAATTCTATCACAGATAAAGCTTCTGTTCTCACAGATGAATAGGTCTTGTTTTCTAAGAAGAAAATCATATAGTGCACATTATTTGTTTTATATACCTTATAAACAAAACCTCTAAGATTAAGTTAGCATTACTGAAAGATGTTCAGAAATTATAAACTCAGAGAAAGATACACCTGTTCTTAAGTAAGCTTCCCTTTGCATATTGTCTATCATTAAATATTGGGTCGTTGGGAAAGTCATGATGTATTTCTCTGTTTTTCTATGCAAAACTGCGTCATGACTTTCCCAACGACCCAATACTTGAAATGTGCTACATGTCCACATTCCTTACTTAAAAAAAAAAATGTCAGTCAAATATATAGATCAGTACAACAAATGGCAATATTTAAAGGACCCATTTTAGAAATGGGAAATCAAAAGACACTATCTCAAACACATAGTCACCTTCACATAATACCTAAGAAAGGTCTTTAGGTTTGCATGACTTCCTCATTTTAACAAAGAACATTACACAACTCAGGTATGGCCAAATCAGAGACACACAGCTGGGACCTTGCGAAGACTAATTTCTTAGCTTCTAGTTCTGTATCCAAAAGCATGCTACCTCCAAGAATTCCAACTGAAATATGCTTCCTTGGTGTCTTCTCTAGATACAGCATCTAGTTCTTGGTGAAACTGTCTACCAAAAAAATTAACAGACAACCAAGCCTGAGGCAAGGAAAGCACTCGATGAGCTTATAACATCCTGTTAGGCTACAAAGTACGTAAGTGCTTAAAAGAATGATGGTGACCTATCAACAGGACACAGGAGTCAGCTTGAAGGGGTTTCCACTGGCCAAGTCTGGGACAATTTGAGCAACAAATTAATTAAGGAAAATAAATAATTACAAACCAATGGGAGCAAAAGGAATCCATGAATCAATCTCGATAATAGATAAAGAGATAGGGAGAGGAAGGGGTCCTGCTTACGAGAGGATGCCAACTGTCAAATGGTAACTGTGGAGAAGGGCTAGAGTTGGAGAATCATCTCTAGAAAACGATTCAGGGAAAACCATCCATGCATGCTGGGTCGAGAAGGCAATCTTAAGAGGAGCAGCATATCTGCATGGTCTTAAAGTGTCTTCTCCCAGACTGCTTATTAGACGCAGTTTTGAAGAGGAACAGGCTATCTGAATGGTTGTAAAGTATGTTCCCACAGGCTGCTCATTAGACACAAGGGGGAAAACATGGTAACTGTATAGTAAAGTGAGCAGTGCCCTGACCAGGTATGACCAGGTGATCAAAAGTAACACGCCAGCGAGGGCAGATGACACTGCGCCTCCTGTCGGGAGGCACATCACTCACAGAGTATCCCGAGTGGGAATCATAAATGGACCCAACCACGAGGAAACAAACATACTGTATGACAAACATACCAGTTAAAAAAGGGGTGGAGGCTTGTCTTCAAAATTGTCAATGTCAATAAGAAAGAAAGGCTGAGGAAGTGTTCCAGATAAAAGGAGACTAAAAAGATATGACAACTAATTCAATAAATGATCCTGCACTGGATTCCTTAACAGAGGGGAGGAAAACAATTCTATAAAGAACACTGAGTGAACTGAAAACCCAGAATATGAATGGTAAAATCTGTACTGTGTCACTGTTGTATTACCTGAAGTTAGTAACTGTGCTGTGCTAACTAACGTAAAAGAAAGCACGCTGGGGAATTTAGGAGTAAAGGGACATGATGCTTTCACATGGCTCAGGAAAAATACATAAACAGAAGTGCAAATGGTAACGTAAACGGGGCAAAATGTTAAGAGGTGGCTTTGGATAAAGGATATATAGGTATTACATGTACTATCATTGTAACTTTTCAGTAAATTTAAAATTATTTCCAAAGAAAAGTTTTTTTAAAATACTTATCACAAAGGTTTTTCCAATTTAGGTGTTAAAATCCTACATTAAGTTCCAGGTTAATATATTCCAGTTTGGGGATACATACTGAGTATATTAAATAGGATAATTCAGTAGTTGCATAAATTTAGATCTTTCTTAGCACAAGGTAGGGAATATTTGAAGCTTAGCTCTTCGAGCTTTAAAATTAGGACGCCTTATCAGTGTCAGGTTATCAAACTCACCTAAAGAGTACGTGATTGATTTACAAGTTTCAAGGAGAATTTCAGCCAAAGCCTCAGGATCTGCATGTTCTTCTTCCAAAAGCATTAATCTGTAAAAAGCACAAAGCAAGATAAAAATGCCATTTCTAAGAAACATCCCAAAACCTTTCTGTCACAAATAATTTCTATCTGTGTATCACTTTATGATGTCACTTTAGCTTTTAATTTTAAAATTAAAAGAATTCCACTGATTATATATGAAATGCTCAAAGGAAAAGGGGAAAAGGAAAAATAAATGACTGAACCTCATATGAAACAAATTACCCCTGAAAAAAGGCATTCATTGACTGTAGGACTCCCAGCTGCACTTTCCAGGTGCTGAGCTTTAGCCGTTCACACATCAATTTGCATAGCTCCTGACGATAACAACCTGGGAAAAAAAGACAGAATGGGACACAGGGGGAGAAGTGTGAAGGAGTAAGACAGAGTGAGTGAGGGACAGACAGAGGGACAGAGACAGGAACAAAGAGGAACAGAGAAAGGGCGTGGGAGACAGGGAGAGAGGGAGAGAGACGGAGGAGGAAGGGGAGCGAAGGAGGGAAGTAGAAAAAAATAAAACAAATGCCTTTTAATTAAACCCATGAAATTTAAAAGACACTTCAGTGTGACTTTGTAACCAATTCCCAAACAAATTTCCCTGATCAGAACTCCCCCACCAAAGGTCCTATATAATTGTTCAAATGTTCACTTTTAAGGCAAAATCCTTCTCCAAGGAACAGACACAGAATCTAACCACACTCCCCTTTCCCTGTAAAACACCCTGAATGACAACCAAGGGAAGCAGAGCTCTGGAGGCCAGGAGCCCCGCTGGACACTCGTAAGCTCTGCATGTGGTCGGCTTCTCCCCAGACAACAGCGCTTTATCCCAGACCTGTTGTGCCAACTGCACACGGAATTACATTAGTTAATATTATACTAAGTGATGAAACAGGAGTATAAAACTCAACAAAGCAGTTATGTTTTAAGTGCTGTAAAATTTAATTCGGTTCACAAATGTAAAGACAGATAGGGGTAAAATCTACAAGAATTCTGCACTTGAATGGCTTCATAAGCCACATCTTTCTCCACTATAAAGAAAGGAAAAGCTGAAATTGTAGCTACATCATGAGTAAGCTGTACATGAGAAGCCAGTGTGGAACAGTTCGGTTCTGAAAGGCCTTGGCCCTCCCCTAATAACTGGCAAGTGAATGTACACGTCTATGCTTCCCACTAAATAAACTGCTTTGTGTATGAATCCTCTTTTTCCTGTAATTCCCTCCTCTAACTTTCTCTACCTCTCAAGCAAGTTAGTAGTGCTAATGGTGTCAAATCAGTAGACTTCCACTGCAGTCCATAACACAATACCAAGACACAAGACCACTTACAAATCGGAGTCTTTTGGAAAATCCTTCCGATGCATACATAGCAAATATCCTTTTTAAAGTTCACACAAAGGACAGCAAGGCTCAAAGACAATCTTAAGTCTGATTTTAGACATGTCCAGTCACAAATAATCCCCGCACTTTTTATAACAGTCAAGCACCATACGATGTGGCGTGGGCAGCAGTGCAGGAGCTAACAGGCAAACGTCAGAGGCGCACGGTCCCACGCTAAAGGTCCTGTCCGAGCACTCCTAGCTCACTGCACCTTAACCCAACAATAAAGGTCTCTGTTGGTTTATTTCCTTATTAAGCCTTTGGAAATACACATCAAATTCTGAAAAGCTCTCGAAAAGTCACGAGTTTCTCAGTGAAATAAAAGATTTCAGTCGCTTATTGAAGATCTGGTACTAAAACAAGGCCAAATGAGATGAAGAGACCCTGCTCATGAATTCTGTGGATTCCTCAGAATACAGCATCAGAGAGAAGAGTAACAGAATTATTTTTATCGTCAAACTAGCTATACAAAATATATCATGGTGGTTAAGGGCTGAATCGTGTCCCCCAAATTCATGTGCTGAAGTCCTAACCCGAGAACCCTGGAATGTGGCTATATTGGGAGACAGTCTTTCAGGAGGACATCAGAGAGGGCCCTGTTCCAGTGCGACCGGTGTCCTTCTAAGAGGAGAGGAGGACACACAGACACAGATGGTCATTTACGAGCCAAGGCGAGAGGTCTCAGGAGAAGCCAATACAACCGACACCCTGATCTCAGACAGAATTGTGAGAAAATGAATTTCTATTGTTTAAGCTACCCAGTCTGCAGTACTTTGTTATAGCAGCCCTAGCAAACTAATACAACAGTCAAATGAGATTATTTGCCGATGTAGAAATCCAATTTATATTGGACAATTCTCACTATTAATCTGGCTGTACAAGAAACAGTAGCTCTAACTTGTCACACAGAACATTTTTGCTCTCGTTAGGTGACCTCTAGCTACAGCACTTCTTCAAATGCAGGTTCTGGTCCTTACGCTGCGTCTCCGCATTCCGGGGCCAGGCTTTGCCCAGGCTCTCAAAGGCTCTTAGCAGGGATTCCAGCTGGAGCTCCTTTTCCTTCTCATTCTCATCTTCATTCTTGGTTGTCCGGACTCCAATGCTTTCAGGTGAGTTCTAGGGCATGTTCAAAAAACCGAAAGCAAAATGTAACTTATTTTCAAAGTTACAGGTATCCTATTAAAACAATCAGAGTACCAAAGTAGATGTTAACCAAGAATTAAATGGTAAATTCTCTAGCATGAATTTTCCTATTTCTAAAAAGAATTTGTAACAGGGATACTGCACCTCTCTAATAAGTTTGGGAAATCCTTTAAAGGAATCTGTAAGCAAAGGTGAAAAAACACTGCATGTGTAGTATTTTGAGCACAACATAAGACTTGCATTAAAATCATGAAATTAAAGATGAAAGAACTTGGTAATGATCTAAATCCAAATTCTGTTGTAATACGATAAGAAAACAGGTTGAGAAGTGCCTCATCCAACTAGCTGGTGATATCACCAACTTAAAATAAAAGTCTCCCAAATCCACACACTATCATTATGTAACAAATTATTTAAGGAGCCTTTTTGCTCAAAGAAAATAACTAAAATTAGCAGCAACACAGGAAATAAGAATACTATTTAAACTATTTCATGTTTCACAAAAATTAAATAAACCATACCCTTCTTTCTTTGAACAAGTGCTCAAACTTTAAAACAAGTACTTCATTTTCCAAATGAAACAGTCTTTTTTTTATCAAAATCCCCCAATATATGGCAGAGGCCATTAACAGTGACACACTGAGCTCCCTATCTTCCCTCTCCTGGGGTGGTTTCTGCACATGCACATAAGGAAAGCTGATTATAACGATGACAGAGACCTTCATCCACTCTAACACCCACTCTCAGGACTCACTGCTCCCACAGCCTTGCCACTACTGGCTTGCAGGCTGAAACCCCTGCAAAAAACTCAGCTTTCTGCTTTGTTTTACAAATAAATCCACCCTCCCTTTCTCCCATGAAGGGCTGATGGGACACCTGAAATGAATCTGCAGCCAGGTGTGGCTACCTGGCTAAGCACTGGCCAATGGGACACAGGTAAAAGTGCCATGGACCTTTTCCAGGAACTCTCCTTAAGGAAGAACCGCCAGACCTGCTCTGCCCCTTTCTTCATCCCCTTTGCCATCACCTGCCATCAATGCAGGTCAGTAACCACACCCTAGGGATGGCAGAGCTGGGAGCTACAAAGAGCCAGAACCCCCAAACTAGTATGTGAGACAAAAACATCTATCTTGTTTGAGGCCGTGACATTGTAGCATTTTCTGCTACTTGCAGCTACACTAATTCTAATAAAATATGCAAACAAAACATGGAAAAATCTTTTCTTTTTTTAACTTTTAAAGTATAACCAGACCTGAGAGGGTATAAGTGACCATTACCTTCTTGATGAGAGGTATGACAATGTCAGAAAACTCCTGGAATCTGTCCTCTTTGGTGGCCTTCAAGACATCTGCTGCACAGCTGATTGCTACAATTTTGTATTTGAGGTTCTCTTTGCCACACTCCTTCAGAACAGCCTGGAGAATCTCGTTTGTGCTGGGCTGATTGGGCACGGGCTTTTCCAGCTCTGCACTGCAGGACCCACACAAAAGCATCAGAATAGTTAATAAAGGCCGCAGCTTTCAGGCTCAGCTTAAGAAATGGTACCGTCATCGAAAGAACACTTACCTGCAAGCTGTCACCACACAGGCGATGGCTTTCAACAGTTCTTCCTACAGGATTGAAACATAAAACTATTAAGCACACGTGTCATTTACATTCTGTACTGTGATGACAATTACCTCAGGAATATTTAATAACTATGATAACAAAAATTAACTAGAGTCACCTTCTGTTTAATGCACTTTATTGTTTAGCAAGCACATCCACAGAAGCAGAATAACTATCTCTATTTCATGAAGCCTACAGAACTGACTTGCCCAAGGTCACACAGGCAGACGTTGTCAACCATGGAATTAGAACTACATCTGACTCCCAGCCCAGTAGTTCTTCTGCAGCACTGCAGTGGGCACTACTGACTTTTACATCAACTAGATCATTATATGCTGCCACAATTTCACCTTCTCACTGACTGTTCACTGTAAGTATCCTACTATCGCCCTTATATAAAAAGATGACTGTTACTAATTCATAGCCCCAGATAGGCACCCTCGGGCACGGGTCCAGACAGCTCACCTTACTACTCCATTTCACATATGCCCAATCCTGACCTCTTCATGAGGCCGGCAGGTACAAAATGGGGCCAAAATGGTCTGAGACTTATCTTGGAAAGCTGACCGTGACAAATAATAATCAATCTCAGCATAACTGTGCAGTATTCAATGACATGTGGGTTGCACATGGATGAAATAGCATACTTAGTCGGGCAAAGTTTACCCAAAGCTTCCCATTGGCTAGAAAATCTGGTCCACAGAAAGAATCTGACGTCCCACAAAACCAGATTCTAATCTTTATAGGAAATGAAAGATGAAGTCATAATCCTCTAGGGTACCTTAAATGTAACTGGGCATGAATGGTTCCCTTACCTTTCCTGCCCATGTTCTTCCAGCCAGGCCTTGCAGTAACGCGGTCAGGATCATTCCCAGATGCGGAGGTACTAGGGAGCTGGTTTGCTTTGCAATTGATGCCATGGCAATCGCACCCTGGGCTTTCATTCTCCAGGACTGAGACTGTAAAGCCTTCTGGGTAATGGTAATCAACTCTTGCATGTATAACCGAATGCCACCAAAGGAACCTAAGTTATGAAAAGTAAAATTAAAGCAAACTTTACGTGACACACACAAAAAATTAACCGAATTTTCTAAGTGAAATAGAAGTCAGTGACCATCAGTCTAAAGCAGTGATTCTCAATGGTTACATTACACCACTTTCTGAAAGAAAGTGGGTGGTGTGATGCATCTTTACAAAAGCAGGGCTTTATGAACTTGGCTATTTCCACAGGAGAGTATCATGCAAGTGGTCGTCATCCATTAATACGTGTGAAGGTGAAAAAATAAGAGTTGAGAAGCACTACTCTAAAATAATACTCTAGGTCAGGGCTTGGCAAACTTCTGAGACGGAAGAGCCAATCCTGTCCCTCACAACAATTTAAAAATTATTCGAGAGCCATAAAACAAATGAAGTCACCATTATGTGAATAATATCCTTTAAAAATGTTATAAATGAAACTTCAATAGTTTTATTTTCATTTTCAATTTTACTTCAGAGCCACATGTACGTACCCAAAAAGCCACATGTGGCTCATGAGCCAGTTTGCTGACCCCTGCTCTAAGGCAACATAAAAATCACTATTCACTCTCAGCTAAAGTAAGTAAAGTTCTACTCTGCTGGGGCGGAGTTTCTCCTCCCTCACGTGGGCAGCAACGAGGGAGGAAAGAGAAGAGCTCTGAGTGCCAACCCTGAGAACTCAGCCATTTGGACAGGCTCCAAACCAAATGGGACACATGTCATTATAGTCCTGGGTACGTAACTATAGGAGCTTATAAACAAAAAATATGATTAAAGGACTCCAGCTGTGGTTCTTAAGAAACAGCTTTAATTCATAGGTACGGATTACTGACCAGGTACATTCTCCTGCCACACTTCAGTCCATAAGTTACATTCCTCTTTTTCGGATTTCTCCTCATCAGCAATTTCATGCATGCCTAGAAATGCCAAAGGCAAAACTTCTTTGGCATGGTTCTTCAACACGTCGGGGCTGTATCGTCCAATAGCATGAACGGTCAAAGCACAAGACGTCTTGTAGATGGGTTCTGAAGAGAAGCAGAAAAAAACACAATCATTATGATGCTTGCAGCATCATAATGGTAACAATCAAAAGGGTAACAATCAAAGCCGCCTATTGTTCAACTTGCACCACAGCAAAACAAATCATTAAAATCAATTAGAAATGTTCCCAGCAAAGCACATAAAATCATAGTGGGTAAGACCTGATTTGTATTGTTTTATTAGGTTGTTAACATCTAAATTTAAAATAATATAAAGTAAGATAAGAAAGGTACCTTCTTTCTCCATATACCAGCCATTGAGCTTCTGCAAGAGTTTCTCAGTGCTGCTATCCCGTGAGGTCTGAAAAAGAAGCAATCCTAGTCAGTTCTTTATAATTATCAAAGTATAATTACATAGCTAAGTAAGAGATTCAACTCACCCGAACTAAATGGCCCATGGCAAATGCGCAGGATTTCTGAATTACGCTGTTCCGATCTGTCAGGCCACTAAGCAAAGCGCTCATAAGTTTACCTATCAGAAATAAAGAAGAAAAATCTGATACTTGGTTAACCAAATGTTTTGCTCTGTTCCAGAACCAAAACAAACCTAGCCCTATAATAATAGCTGATTTTTCCATGGTAGTTTAGAACCCTTGTATGTCACATTTGTACTATCCATTTGCTTCCTTTTGTCAGATACAAAATTAAAAATTAATCTGTCACAAATATTGTGGGGGAAGTTGCAAAAATAAGAGCTAGGTACCTAAAATTCATTAGGTCCATCTAGGAGTCAATATAAGAGAAAAATGCTGATGTAAAATTAGCTATAAATGGTAGACAAATCCTACAAGGTGACAGATACTTTCACTTCCTTCTACCACTAAGAAATAATCGAACACTTATAAAACAGTGAAAACTCACTAAACTTGATCATCCTTTACCTCTTGCAAACAAAAAGATAGAGGGAGAAGATTAAGATGAGAAAAAGTATACAGTATCACAAGTATGTCTGAATGATAATTATTTTTCCTTTTAAAACCTTGTCACACAAGACATGGCCATACAAAAATATTAGCACATATGGTTTTGACAAACTCACCTGAGTATGGTGTTAGGTCCTGGGGACACTGAGTAGTTAATGACACAATGACACTGGCACAGCCTCCCTACAGGGTTACAAAGGCAAAGGTCTAAATTTGATGGTCACAATGCTCAATCAAACCCTTTGTTTTAGGTGTCAAAGATTTAAATATATATTTGAAGTCTATCAGCCCCTCCGGATTCAATCTAGAATGAGGAAATCTCTTATTTAAAAATAGGAATGCAGAGATATTCTTTCCAAAACCTCCAGCAGGAGGATGGGTGTGCTCATCCACTGGAAATCAGAAAGAACACTGGTTCACTCTTCCAGGCGGGCACCATATATCATCCTGCCATCCTTATTCCAACATCTCCATTTCTAGAAATTTAACCAAAAGAAATAGCTTCAGATGTGTCCCAAGACATTCATCACAGTGCTTTGTTTAGTACCAAAAAAGCTGAAAACAAGTAAGATGCTCCTTGATGGATTAAAATAAATGATGTTTGAGTGACACAACAAAGTATCATATGGCCATTAAAGAGGACACATGCACAGAAAATACTGGAAGGAAACACTCTGAAATATTAAAAGTAAATTATCTCTCAGTGGTAAACTTAGAACAATTTTTAACTTTCTCCTAATCTATAAATGCTAAAGTTTTAAAATTCAAACAAGTGTTAATTTTGTCAGAAGAAAAAAATGTGAGTTGTTTGTTTTTAAAGTGTCGGGGGCAAGGTCTTATCCTTGAAACATCTTGGAGGGAAAAAACATGTTCTTATCCAAACCCCTGATGAGCCCTCCTCTGTGAAAAATGCTAAAACAACTATGCCCTGACAACTGGATGAGCATTTCCATTAATAACTGATAATGAATAAGGACCCAGAGGGTATGTACACAGCAACCTGGGGAGAGAAATGATTCCACTAAAAAAATAAGACAAGGGCCGGCTGAGTGGCTCAGTTGGGTTAAGAGTTGGCTTAAGAGCACGAGCTCTGAGCAACAGGGCCGCCAGTTCAATTCCCACATGGGCCAGAGAGGCTGCGCATGAGCTGAGCGTCGCTGAGCTACCAACAGGTGGCAGGATGGCTCAGCTGGTGTAACAATAGGATTGCCTGTTCAAAGGTAGGCTATGCCCACCTGCAACTAAGACTGAACTCAGCACCTTCAACTGAGCTGCCGCCCGGATGGCTCAGTGGATGGAGCATGCGCTCTTAACAAGTCTGCTGGTTCGATTCCAACATGGGATGGTGGCTACACCCACCTGCAACTAAGACTGAACTCAGCACCTTGAGCTGAGCTGCCGCCCAGGTGGCTCAGTGGATAAAGCCTGCACTCTTAACAACAAGGCTGCTGGTTCAACTCCCACATGGGATGGTGGCTATGCCCACTTGCAACTAAGATTGTAACACAGCACCATGAGCTCAGAAGCCATGAGCTGCTAACGGGAAGCCAGATGGCAACTGGCGCCCTCCGCAACGAAGACTGAAGAACAACAATTTAGCTGGTCCCCTTCCCCAATTCCCCAACACTGTTCCCCTCCCCCAATTCCCCAATAAAATCTTAAAATAAAATAAAAAAGACAATATTTACTAAGTAAGTTACATGTTTCATTATTTCCTGAATGAGTTACATGTTATGAGTGCAACCATAAAAATGAAATGGTTAACATAAATATTAGGTTTTATGAAAAAATATGAATTTCAAATGTGGTAGCTGTTATAATTTTGTAGCCTAATAATTACCCTTGTGAAAAACACACTTACTTACCTTAGTTCCAAGACCTACACCACTTCTGATCAATTCACATAATCTTGGAACTAGTTCGCCCAGCACCGACACATCAAGATATTGCAGGCACTTTTGGAAAAGAATAAACATCAAGTTAACCTTAGCAAATAATTAAGTGCATACCACATCTTCAGTTAAATATTGCCCATGTCAAATATATACCCACTGGATTTGACACGAAGTGGAAAAATAGCTGGTTTAATTTTGCTCTGATTTCAATGTTAGAACCACCATTGTACTACAAACAGAAAAACCATTCACTGGCGGTTTAACATTAAAAACAAAACAAAAATAATGAAAAACAGACTTACTAAAGGAGAAAATAAATGATTACCCGAGAAGAAAAGGGTCACTCTGGGCCTACTTCTTCATCAATCCACGTTTAATGTAAAAGACCCAGATTAAAAAACCCACCTTCAGCGGGCCTACCCTACCAAACCATCTTATGAATTGGCTTCTTAGCAGAATCTGCTATATTTTTGAAAATGCAATGAAATATATTCTATTATTAATGAGTATATGATGTTTGCTAACTATTCCTATTCTTCTTTCTTTAAGCTTTCTTCCCGTCCCCCCAACCCCAAATAATCCAACTAAAACATAACATCCTTAGACCAAATTTGGTAAGTCTCCCAGTAAGCACTACAAAAACATCTACTTCTCTTGTCCCGCCCTGATTTGCTTAACAAAACCATTTCCAGTAGCTCCCAAGCTCTCAGTTAACCACTCAGGGTATGCACAGCAGTCAACTTTAGTGACTTTAGTGACTCCTAATCCAAGAGTCCAGGAATTTAGGACTTGGAAACCCAGTGCCAACCAGCTCTCTTCTGCAAATCCCACCCTGTGACACATCAGCACTGCTCAGTTCTCTTCCCCTGCCTTTACGCTGCTGCCGACTTCATCCTAGGTGGCCCCAAAGACAACGCTTAGGCAGAGACAAAAATCTGAACCTCGCTAAGAAGGCAGGCCAAAGACACAGAGACCTACACAGAAACCTCTTAGTATATTGTTCTCCTATGAACACAAATGTGGACTAACAGATTCTGGCATGTGGGAAATTATTTATTCCATTTAGTAATACAGAAGAAAAAAGAATTGTACTAAGAAAAAGCTGCTTGACTTATCCCTAAAATCTCTACTGCATTTAATGTAACCTGAAGACGTTGAACAATTACACTCTAAGGTAAGCAAACAAACTTCAGCTTTCTCATTCCATCAGGCACTGACCATGTTGATTGTTTCCATCATGGGAGAGGATTTGGCAGCACTGAGTCGAGCGCTATCCATCGCAGCCTGAGGACACAAATTGAAGACACTCAGCACATTCAATTTATATAAGAACAACCTGCACACACTCCCATAAAAGGACTTTATGTTAAATTGAAGAATCTTTTTAAAAATAATACGTAGATACAACAAAGTCAAACGTAAGTCTAACTCTAATTTCTTTTGACCTACACTCAACCATTTACCTGCAGAGGCAGACTCTCACTACAGGTGAGAAATGCAGTCAAGTTAGAAATTAACTGCAGTTAGAAATTAACATAATATGGCTCTGAGCGAGTCATCCATCTTGAGCCTCAGGTTCTCCATCCACTAAATAAAGGAAAAGACTAAATGAATTTCTACCTAAGGTTTTTAAAAATTACCTCTAAGCAACAAAACTAAATAAATAAATATTTATTAAACAAAAATAAATATTTAAAACTTAAATAAATTCATACATTTATTGCACTAACTTTGTAAATGGCCTTCACATCTACAGTGGTATTTTAGTCTAACAACGACACTGTAGGAGAGAACACTATCCAGATGTAAGAATGAAAAAAGTAAGGCATACAGAGCAACTTGCCTAGGGCTGCAGAGCCTGGGTTAGAAATTTTATTTCCTAATTCTCAACACTTAGTAGGTGGGAACCTAGGAAGAGGCAAGATTACTGCTAAAAGAAGGAAGAACGATGTATGGAGAAAAACAGCAATATTAGAGGCAAAAGGAAAAGAGAGTAAGTTAAAAGAATAGTGTACACAAGTTAAAAATCAATAAAAATCAAATAGTCAACTGACAAAACATTTACAATCTGTATTACGGGGGTTTGACAGTCCTAATAAACAAAGACAAATGTTAAAACATAAACAAGTCAAGTACAAAAATAGGCATGGAATAGAAACACAATTCACAGAAGAAATAAAAATGGCTAATACAATATGAAAAGACAACAGACAACACTAATAACAGGAAGGTGTACATTAGAACAATGAGATTCTTGCTTATCAGACTGATGTTATTCAATGTTGGCAAAGATATGGAGAAAACAGAACATTCATAACCTTTGGTGCCACAAAATCTCTCCAGAAAAATTCAAAATCACCTCACTGTATAATACCAGGCATGCGTTAAAAAGAATGAAATAGATCTCTATATAGAGACATGATACATTATTGACAAAAAGCAAGTTGCAGAACAACATTCATAGCCTGATTCTATTTTAAAGTTAGTATGTCTGTTCGGTTTTGCAGCCTATGACTACAGAAGAATTTGAAAACAAGACACAGGAAACTTGACAGTGGGTACTCGGCAGGAAATGATACTGTGCTAGTAGGGGGATGGGGACTCCTAGGGAATTGCTTTCTACTCTTTTTGTTGTTTTAATTTTTCACAATGAATGTTTCATCTGTAATTTTTTTTAAAAACTCAGATCAGAGACTAGGCAAATACAGTATATGTTAAAAAGCAGAATAATGTTGGATTAGGCCAAAGTCTAAATACAAACTCTCTTTACTTGTAGGACAGGAGTGGTCCATAGAAGGACTCTGAGGGTATAGATTCAGCCCCGAAAAAATAAACAAATGTACAAAAAACTGTGTTTAAATAAATGTTAATACATTTTTTGAATGGAAGCGTCATTTTCATATGATTCACAAAATACTGTATAAGCCTACTCCCTGCCCGCCCCTGTAAAAAACCACTGCATGTGATTACAGTAATTAGGCTGTTTCAAGAGAGGTCAAAGTATAATTCAAGTCATGTAGTTCGTCTACGGACAATGCATAGATCGTTCAGCTAGATCACAGCACCTTAACAGGGCTCTTCCTTCATGGTCACTGAGCAAAATGCCTGTGTTGTCAACTCACCTTTTCTTGGTCTGTAGCCCGGAGGCTCAAATAATTGAGAACTTGGGGTTCCAATACACTTAAGGACTCCAGCAGAGCTGGGATGAGTTTTGGTGCATGTGGTTTCAACATGGCTCCCGCACTTTTGCTGATCTTCACAAGGGTGTTAATGCTACAGACACACAGAACACAGCTCCTGAGTCTTTTTAACAGAAGTAAGAAGCCCTACAAATCTAATCATGGGGACATTCGGCAGTTTATTGCATGCAGGGACATATGGTTAGAGCACTATTTTTTTTTTAGCTTTTTATTATAGAAACATTCACGCATATATGAAAGTAGAGAAAAATCACAAATAAATTCTATGTATTCTCCCAGTACAACAATCAGCAGCCTTTGGCCAATTTTGTTTCACATATACACAGAGACACACTTTTTCCCCCTGCCACTGTATTATTTTAAAGAATACCCCCTAACTAAACTTCAGTATGTATCACTAAGAGGCAAGCACTCTTTATCATAATCAAAATATCATTTTATACCTAAAAAAATATTAATAATTTTTTCATATGAGCTAATATCTAAATTTCCCAGACTGTTTCACAAATGTTTTTAAGTTTGTTTGTGAGAACCAGAACCAGAGTCCATCCACACGTTGCAATTTACTGAATTTCTTGAATCGTTTTCAACAGTGCCCTCCATCCTTTTTATTATTATAACTTTATTTTTCCTCACTGATTGTATCTTGGTGGTGTTACTTAACATGTTCCTCTGTCACCTGTACACATCTATAGACTAAATCAATTACAGAGTGATCAGTGGGTTCAAGTTTGGTTGGCCTGAACCATCCATTATGAAGTTCACCGTCAGCCTTCTCACCAGTGGATTAAGAAGGCACTAATGATCATTACCTAAATTATTTTACTGAAGGTAGCAAAATGCTGATGTCCTAATTTTATCATTCCTTTGCATCTGTTAGGTGAATCCTTCTAAAAGAACTTTCCCTCATCAACTATTTAGTTACCATGAAATACTGTTAGTGCAATTAATTTGATCTAATTTTAAGAGCGAAATAAAAATGGAACAAATAAAGTTCCCAGATAGCATTCTAGCTTAAAAACAAACAAAAAACCCAAACTAGAATCCTTCGCTGTTGGTTTTAACTTAAAATAGCCATAAATACCTAAACACACGAGTGTATTTCTTTAACGTTTAATTATTGCAAGTGGTAAACTGTTTATTTTAAACCTAATATGCTGTGAAATATTACTAAATGGTGCAGCCAACGAATAAGTTCCCACGAACCTATGGCATAATGGGGAAGCTGTGCCTGCTGGGACAGAGGCCAATGACTATAAAATAACACACTTTACTCAAGGTCAAGGCAGAATGGCAGGATGCTGGTCGAAAGCAAGGTTTCCATGAGAATGTCTGTGTGAAAATGTTCTCACAACTTTTCACAAATGCTCAAGTCACCTCAGCTTCTCCTCAAGGCATTTCTCCATACATTTAAGAATCTAATATTCAAAGAAACTCAATTTCTACTGAATGGCTAGGAACTAAGTAAATCTAGTACATTCCCATCATCAGCTGATTCACACCTGAGGGCTCGAACTTCCGTCACAGGACTCATCATTCCTTTGTCCAGAAGGCAAGGCAGAAGGACAGCGATGGTTCTCTGGCCAGCTGCTCCTTTGGCTGGGTCACACATTTTCACACAAACCTCATATACAAAGAGAATGGAAATTAGTGACACTGAACTCTCACCCAATAAAGCATTCATGTGACAAAACACTTCCTGCTTCCCATATCCACAGAAAAAAATGAGTGGATCTAGAGAACATTTATAAGAAAGCATTTAATGATGTGACCTATGGCAAGGTTTATACAGCTACAATGTAGAAGTCCCAGATATGTCACAAAATCAAGTTCAAGTGGGAAACTAATAAGCTTGCCAACCTCACAAATATGAAAGGCAGATTAACACATAAACATAGCCACAGTAAAAAGAAAAGGTAGATGTTGCTTGATGTAAATGCGTAACGTGTTCTTCAGGGTCAAGTGGAGCTGTACTTTATATAAAGGCCCAGAGAAGCTCACCATTTAAAAAGACCAGAGACATACTTTGTTAAAAATTCTAGTATTCTAGTGTAACAGCACCCAGTTTAATATGCATTGTAAGAACAGTGAACTATAACACGAAACCAATTACACTGCAACTAAATGTCACTTTTTGACAAAAAAATAAGAAATTGTCATTGTCACTTAGAACCCTGCCCCACTTCACCCCCAATGTAAGATAAGAGTTTTCACCTTGCTCAGAGTTTTCAGAGCTAGTTCTGCTGCTTTTCGTACAGATTCCTAAAAATAAGAAAAGTTTGACATCATACAAGTTAGAAAGTCTCCTTCTCATCTACCCCACAATGCCTAATAACTACCTTCAACTCTACACAGATTAGTAGAAAATCCTACTTTCAATAATACCAGGTAAAAAATTGAGCTTCATTAGGTTCTTCACCCATCAAGGAACATATTACCACGCTATATTGTTTTATTAAATTAGGTATGACCTATTTTGACCTTATAAAAATATGGCAGTTAGGTATAACCGTTTAGAAACTAAATGTATTATAAAAAATGTATAAAGACCTATGTGAGGATTCTGAAAGACTTAAAAAATCTCTAATGAGTAAAGCAAAAGAAAGGCAAACCTCACTTTAATGGTAAGATATCAAAATATCTAAAATTTAGGCTGCCCAGGAAAAATTAAGAGGAATTGGTCACATTACTTGGAAATAACCAATCCAATTTATGAAATTGATCAAAATAGTTATTCTGAATTATTTCCAAACTGTTATTTATCCCTAATCAATAGCATCATGAGATCTCTACTGAACGACAGTGAAGCCGTAGCTATCTTTAAAAAAAAATTCAATTTAGAGCTAAAGATACCCAACCTTGCAACTTCATACATACATACATACATACATATATACATCAAGACTGAAACTTTTAGAGGGAAATTGTGGTCTTTCAAAATTGTCTGGATATCCAATTTCAAAATATATAACACACATATTTTAATAATTCCGGTTTAAGTTATTCCATGAATAAATGCAGATTTATTTCTATAATACCTTTATATCATCTTGTACTCTAAAAAGAGTTTCCCAAATTTCTGGAAGTTTATCAATGATGTCATCTAAGGGTCTTCCTCTCAATAAATCATTCAGAGCCAAGCAGCTGAAAATAAACAGTTTGGTTTCAAATATATGACCAAGAAAGCTCAATATTTTACTATGACACATTCTTCTCAAATAAGAACATGAATTCTTAACAGCCCCACTCCAAGACAATGACTATTCTCTCCATGGTACCTCAAATATACCACCGATATATGGCATTTAGTCATCAAACATCTGTTTCCCACAACTATAATACAATCTCTTTGAGATGATATACTATGTTTCACTTACCAATGTACCCACCCCTAGGGCTTAGCATACTGTCAAGCACATAGCAGGCACTGAATAAATATAAATTATATATGTGTAAATAAATCCTACTCTACAAAGTCATGACAGTATATAAATACATCTTGATGTCTACCAATTTAACAAGTCATCTTCTATAATTTCATACTTGTAAAATCTAAGACAACTAAGGAAAACTACTTTCCAGAGTTTAAAAAATGAAATAATAATAAATGTCTAACCCAACCATTAATATGCTTTTTAGTAGTTTGGCATAAGGTATAAAACCTAGAAACTTGAAGGAAAAAAAATTCAGTTGTATTTGACTAGTTTTGTACTTCCAAAAATAGTACCTAGATTCTCGAACTCGCCACATATTGCTGGTAAGGTTCTTAACCAAATCTTGAAGAATTTCCTTCAAATACTTATCCACCTAATGAAAACAAAGGAATAAAATTAAAAATGCAAAATTCTTCAATAATCAAATTATTCATCTCTCAACCATAATGACCACTGGTCCATATGTAACGACCTAAGGGTCTCTCAAGGCCTCTTAGCCCACAACTCTTCCCCAACTTTGGATGCTAAAAGCTGCCGTAGTGATCATTCTAAAATACAAACTTGATCCTTAATTCCTCAAGTGCATGAGAATAAAGTCCAGTCACCTGGACATGGATACAAAGCCCTCTGTGACCCATCTAGTGCTAAAGGTCTCATGTCCTATCTCCTCTCCATTCCTACCTCTACCTACAATTTCCTTCCAGGTTCTACCTGCTTGGCTAACGCCTACTTGTCCTTCAGGATTCCAATGGGCATCATTTCGCACAGAGGACTGGCCTACTCTGCTCCGTGTTCCCACAGCACCCTCACAGGCATGTCTCAGACCAGACAATAACTGTCCTGCTCCATCACACTGAGGCCTCTGGCGCAGGGACAGGGTCTCACTTGTCTTTGCATCCCTGATACCTTGCATGGTGTGAGGCACATAAAGAAGTATTGTGATTGTTCAGAATGAAAGACGAGTTTAATCTTTCCAGCCTCTGTTTTGTCTTGATATACAACTACCATTTAATAACAACAAGAGCTGATGATACACTCCGTTTTTATGCTGATCCAAAGAACCTCCAAACTTATGGCTTTTCTTTCCACTTTTACTTTTGTGGGTAAGGCAGGTTTTGTTATCCTCACTTATGTGTAAGAGAACCAAGACACAGAGGTAATTAACTCACCTTGAGATTGAGCAAACTGGTGTCTTCCTATGTCCACTTCCCTAAACATTCATTCTCCATAGTGATCTCATCCACACTGTGGCTTCCCCTTTCACTCATACAGAGATGATACTCACATCTCATAAGCCTAGGCCTGTGCTGAAGCTATAAAGTCAACTCGCCTATTAGAGCTTGGCTGACCTGGTGGGACTGAATACTCCCCTAGACCAGGGATCAGCAAACTGCGGCTTGCGAGCCACATGCAGCTCTTTGAGTACGTACATGTGGCTCTGAAGTAAAATTGAAAATGAAAATAAAACTATCATAGTTTCATTTATAAAATTTTTAAAGGATATTATTCACATAATGGTGATTTCATTTGTTTTATGGCTCTCGAATAATTTTTAAATTGTTGTGAGGAACAGGATTGGCTCTTCCATCTCAAAAGTTTGCCGAGCCCTGCCCTAGAGCAAACGAAAACTCGCTGAGCTGAACCCCCCAGTACCTACCGTCATGAGCAGGAACACACTCAACCTAGCATCAGACTGAAGAGAGAGGAAAGGGCCACGACATTTGCAGGGACCACAAAGACAAGGTAAGGACAATGGGATTTATTTAAAGTGAACTATGAAGCCACTAACAGATTTTAACTCCAAATGGCACAACCCAATGTGCATTTTTTTAAATCACTTTAATGCTGATAATTAAATAAAGGAAGGCAAAGAGAAGAGCAAGATGACAACCTGTTCATCAGGGAAAAAATAAGGAAAAAAGAGAGTAGATTCAAGGAACACTTTGGAGCAGAATCAACAGAATGCGCTACTGGGTTCAGTTGAGGGTGAGACTGACAAAAGTCAAGGATGACACTGAGTTTCCCGGCTTGGGTAAATGGATGAGAATAGACAGAGGAGCCTGGTGTTTCAAGTCCTACTCTTTTTTTTTTTTTTAAGCTGAGCCATTCTGCCACCTGTTGGCAGCTCAGCAGCTCAGCTCTGGCTGGGAATCGAACAGGCGACCCTGTTGCTCAGATCTTACACTCTTGAATGAGCTCTTAACCAACTGAGCCACTCAGCCTGCCTGAAAAGTCCTACTCTAAACATGTTAAGTCTAGAAAGAACATCCGAGTGATGATGTCGGGCAGCAGTTAGATATGCAAGTCAGGAGCACAAGTCTTGTCTGGGCCAAAACTATTAAGATTGGGAACCGTCACAATAAAGACGACATTAATATGCCCTGGAACTGAGGAGCTCATCTAGAAAGATAAAGCTGAGAGTAAAAGGTACTCAGAGGCAAGCCCTAAGAAATCCTCATATCTAAAAGTGGAATGGAATATGAGAAGCAACCAGATAATAAAAAAACATATATGGTAATTGCCAGCTTCCTTGTCTATGTCCTCAACTAAGTGAACTTGCTGAAGATAGGAGCCATGCCATTCTCCACTGCATCAACAGTACCTATCAACATATATGTAGTATTCCATTTGTGTGAATATACTACCATTTCCTTACCAGCCACCCAATGGACATTTAGATTGTTTCCATTTTTGAGATTCCAATAAATGCTGCCATGAGCATATCTGATACTTTGAAAGAAGGAAAAAAGCAAGGAAAGAAAGTTCATTTGTTTAAACCAAAAGTATACAAAGTAGAAAGGATGATGGGCACTGGGTTGAAATCCCAGGTGTAATGTTGGACAAGGAGTCAGACACTTGCCGTTGATTTGTCAGTGACCAGTGCATTCCAAATACTTGTCATGGCCTGCCGAATACCAAGGTTGGGATCAAACTGATAACGATAGAGACGAGGAACCAGTTGAGGCAGAAAAGGAGCCAGCTGTTCTCCAGCTCTAGTAGCAATTACATTAAAACCAAAAGCAGCACCCTAAAATAAGAAGAAGATGAAGTGGGTCAGATACACCTGTCATAGTAAAATATTAACATATTAAATATATAAAGATCACAACATTCTTCCTCCCAAATTTGTCCCTGAATTGAGCCTGATTTACTGAGTGTCCCGGCTTTACCAACCAACAATGCACCCATGTGGAGGTCTGGCTCTAATACACACTTTTACAAAACAAACTGCATATTAATTACCACTGTCTGCCAATGCAACACATTTTGTTTTGGAGGGAAGTGAAAAGTAAAACTGTCCAGTGATAGCAACTTACCTTCCTAGAGTTCCACATCGCATGATGATTGGCTAAGTTCATAAATTTATACACCAGATCTGGTTGACTAAGATCACTTGCCAGAGAACAAAGCTCCTTGTAAGTAGAGAGGCCCTGGCTTGAAAACAAACAAAAAGTATGCAATAATGTGTTCTCTATATCTGGCTTAATAATAATTACATCACCAATATTACTAGGACATTTTAAAATTACATTTTTACTGTTATTTCCAATATTGAGTTATCTCGTCATCATAGACACAGAGAACCAGGTTGAGGAGAATATAAAAAGTCACTTCATTCAATTATCAACAATGCCTGGTAAATGACCTAAAGATGCCTGCATCGCCCATGGAGGTGGAGCCCTTAGCACCTCGGGAGGCAGCTCAACAGTTCCTCATTCTAATGTACACGAATCTCTCTCACAGTCTGAGGGTCACTTGAAGACAACCTCTGTCTTCGCTAAGTCTTTTCTAAGCTAGAGCACTCCAATCTGGATAATAGCATCTTTGAGTCCTGTTAACTTTCTTCTGAACAAATACCGTATTTACCCATTTATAAGACGCACTCTTTTTCAAAAAATTTGGGGTCGAAAAACTGGGTGCGTCTTATACAGTGGTTGTAGGGGGGGTTTTTTTTTCATTTTATTGGGGAATTGGGGGAGGGGAACAGCATTGGGGAATCGGGGGAAGGGGAACAGACAAGTTGCTGTCCTTTTGTTCTTCATTCTAGTTGTGGAGGATGTCGCTTCACTGGCCCATGTTGGTATTATCATTGCGCTCTTCCCGGGTGAGGCAGATCGGTCGCCGGCTTCTGGACAGCCACTCACAGCAGCTCTTAGCAGCTCACACCGGCTGCCAGCCACACACGATAGCTTATGGCAGCCCACTGCAGCAGGGGCTGCAGCCTACAACGTCGCCGACGACTCATGGCAGCCCAGCTCCAGGTCGAGCTGTTGTTCATCATCTTAGCTGTAGAGGGCAGTGTCACTGGCTCCCATGTGGGATCCGAACCGGGGCCCTGCTGCTTAGAGCTGGCATCCCAAGCCAGCACTTAACCAATGCGCCACTCAGCCGGCCCAGTTGTAGATTTTTTTTTTACTTGCATTTCCTGCTTTTTTCATGCTTGTTTTTGTGCTCATACAACCACTGTATAAGACGCACCCAGTTTTTAGACCCCCAAATTTTTCGAAAACGGGTGTGTCTTATACATGGGGAAATACGGTAATACTTGCTCAAATCCCTCATCATTTGTGTTAGTTATTTTGTGAAAAGGGAGCACTTTTTAAAAACTCAGGAGTCTACAGGGAGAGTAAGTGAAATGAAAACAAGTTTCGATGTGAAAACAGCGAGCTGGGGGGAACGTCAAGGACAGAACAAGGTGCTGCTTTCTGTCGTTGCAGACAACACTGAAGCGGGGCTCTGCGTGATGCCACAGCCAGGCCCAGCAAGCTGCAGGCTGACCTTAGGGTTTTTAGAGGAAAAGCAACAGTGTGACCACAACGGAATAATGCTAAGTTAAGAAAGTAAGGCTCTAGGAATTCACTTGAAATGCTAACTTGGTGGACTCCAAGATGCCAAATAGAGTTGCTGCCACCCCCTCAAAAAAACTGGGTGCTTTGGATGCCAAGCTATGCTGCCAGACCCCCCTCCCCAGGATTCACTGGGTGGGAGCTGAGAATTTCCCTCAGGTAAGGTCAGGTCCTCCCCCACAGCAGCCCACCACCAATGATGGTCACAGGGCCGATGATGGGACATAAAGGCCCAGCCCCTCAAAGCAGGACAACTCTGAAGAGCCATCCAAGCCCAGCTCCAGAGCTCCTCAAGAGGTCAGCATTTGCTGAAGTGTTAGAGCAGGTCAGCTCCTCCTTGGGCCATCGGCTGTCATCGGCCTCACAGTGTCATCGGCTGTCCCTACCCCCAGGGTGATGATTCCCGGGCACTCTTTAATAAACTTCTAGCATACAAATCTCCATTTCAGTCTGTTTCCCAGGAACCCACTCTACAACACTAGGCTTTATCCACACAGATTTTCTTCTTACACTAACACAACATTTCCTAGGAGGGTGGAAACCAACTTCGTGAGTGCTCTAGTCACGAGACTAAAGATATCTACAATAACTGATCAACGGATGTGACACACTTACCCATCGGGTGTTTTGCCAAGGCCTCCCCCTTGAAACACCACTGTCTCTCCAGAAACTTCATGTTTAACTCTAAACCAAAACAACAATGAGAATTTAAATTAGCCTCAAATTTTTCATACCAGCTTTCAACTAATTGATACATTTCATTTGCAAACTGATAAAATCAAATTCTCTACTAAGTATCTACCAAGCACAAGATGTGAAGGTCAGCTAATCCTTTCCATCAGCCTGAGAATTCTGTAAAATGAAGTCTAGAATAAACAAATTAATAGACCCCATATAAAAGACATCCTATATATAAAGTGATATGTGGTCTCACATTAAAAACTATCCTTCCTATGAGAGAGGCGGCCTAAAGCACCAACCAATTACAAAAACGATGTCCCCTCTCACACTCTTCACAGGTCAGACTAAGAATGACATGGAAGCTCCGTGTCTTCACTTTCAATTAGCCGACAGTAATTACAGTATTTTTGTAATCCAATGCTTTAACTGTCCTGAAATCATTTCACTTTCAAAGCTTGACCTATGGCATGTTTCTACATGGTAGTTTAGTTTACTTTCTAAACAGTATACACTAGATATTAAAACGCTATCAAGAGCATAACAATCATTAACTCACAACTGAGAAAAGACTTAATAAACAGGAAAATGAAAAATTGAGTTTTCCTTCTCCCACTGCATAATCTCAGTATGTGCAAAACTTGCCCTATGTATTCAAATCTGAAGTTTTCAAGTTCACTGTACCTTTTGCCAGTCATAAGTGTTTCCACAAGCGTAGAAACTAATTCCTGTTGATCTTGTTCATTGCCCAGTTCATACACCAACCCGAGGCCTTTTGAAGCGACATCTTGGCTAAGTTCTACACACAATTCAAACAAAGGAATATTATTTTAAGAAAAATTTGCTGGCTATCAAGTTGAAACTTTTAAAACCTTGTATTATTAACCCAAAATGATATCAAAGTACAGATATCAAAACAGAATCAATAGACTTATTTTGTTAAAAACGTACTAAGTCATCTCAGTGGACATGGCCCCAAAAAGTCCCTGTAAATGAGGACTACATTCACAGAAGAGGCAGCTCACAAACCAAGTCAGCACTGCTGGGCCTCAGTGTGCAGTGCATAGTGACAGAGGATCAATGGACCGCAAGCCGTATACGTGAGGGGCAGAACAGGCTCACGGGACTTCAATACACCTACATCCAATTTTTTTTTAATAAAAAGTCAACACAAGACCCTATGTTTAAAACAATTTCTAAAACAAAGCTACTATTTAAATGTCTAACACATACACATTTGCTCTCTCTCTGCTCAGAACCCAAAGAGGAAAAGGAAGCAGAAGTAGGAGAAAGCTATTATTTAGTAGAAGCACTAATGTTAAAGGCCTCAGCTCCATTTTTAAATGCAAACTAAAGAACATGATTTAATTAAAAAATAAACAAGAATCGAGTTTCCTGTACCCTTTTATGTTCATTAATCCAGATGTTTAAAATCTAAAGTACAAGTTTAATAAAATAGGAAATCAAATATTTACCAATAACCTACCATCATTTTCTGACAAAACGGACACAAATGCACTCTGAATTTCTTTAAGATGAGACTGAAAAAAGAAAAAGGGCATTGAGAAAAATGAAACTCTACCTCTTTGGGAGAATAAGAATCTTTTCTCAGGATACACAACACCGGTAAAATCTCAGGACCCAAGGCAGCCACAAACCCTGCAGGGCTCTCACTTTGAAGGCGGCCAATCTACCTGGAGGCCAGACTGCTACAGGTGGTCTAAGGCCCACAACCTGAGCCTCCAATTCTCACCACTTCTGGCTGTACACCGTCAAGTTTAGAATCATCGTCCAGCCAATATATATCAGGCTGCCATCCTTCGTTCCTTCATGTAGAGCTTATTTCAAAGTATCTGTTATTGGGTAATGGCCCTCACCTCAGCACTGGCCCTCGCTTTCACCACCTTTCAACTATTAATATTTCATAAGCGGTTTCCAATCAAGCTGATGACGTTTATAGCACGGCTTACCCTCACTTCTTTATGGGTACTCAGTTTCCTCACAAGAGAGAGGAGCCAGATGCACGCTGCTTGCCTCACGTGTGGGTTGGGGCTAATGATATGTTTATTTAAAATCACATCCAACACCCAGGGAACCACATCATTCACTTTAGCTCCTGGGGAAAAGCAAAGAATGATAAGAAGCAATTAAAATACTTGAATAGAGTTTCCTGAAAAACTGAATTTAAATCAACATTTACTGAATACAACAATACTACAACATATTAAAATCTAAATAACTAAGATGTTTAAGTAAGTTGCTGAAGGAACCGATAATCGTTCATATCAGAACTTAGAATAAGCTAAATAACCTTTCAAAGGTACTCAGGTAACTTTAGTTCCCTAGAATGGAAAAATCATCCCCATAATGGGAGAGGCTATGCATATATTAAGGGCAGAGGGTATACAGGAAACTTCTGTATTTTCCTCTTAATTTTGCTGTGAACCTGAAATTTCTCTTAAAAAAATTAAGTCTTTATTTAACTGACTGAGTGGCTCAGTTGGTTAAGAGTGTGAGCTCTGAGCGACACAGTCGCTGGTACAATTCCCACATGGGCCAGTGAGCTGCACCCGAGCTGAGCTGCGACTGAGCTGCCAATGGGAGGCAGAATGGCTCAGTTGGTTGAAGCGCGTGCTCTTAACAAGGTTGCTGGTTCGACTCCCGCATGGGATGGTGGGCTGCGCACCCACACCCCCCCCACACCTCCGCAACTAAGACTGAAGGACAACAACTTGGCTGTTCCCCTTCCCCAATTCCCCAATAAAAAATAAAAATAAACAAAAATAAATTATCTACACTCTCTCTAGTCTCAGCAATGTTTGTTTCCTCTACTGTATTTTTTCCATTTCTCATCGAAAAACTAATACACAAACCAACCTCTCTTGCTTCACTTTCCTCTTCCACCTACAATGGCATTTCCCCCCCGTTCGTTTATTACGTCAGGGTTCCTCAGCCTCAACACTGCTGACATTTTAGGCTGTATAGTTTTTGTGGGAAGCTGTCCCCTGCAGAGCAGGATGTTTAGCAGTATCCCTGGCCTCCACCCACTAGAGACCAGTCATACCCACCCTCTCCAGTGGCCAGACATTACCAAATGTCCTCTGTAGGGCACAATCTCCCCTCTTGTCAAGAACCACTGCTTTACATTAAGACCTTTCAAAATAGTTGACTGTACTTATAGTCTACATTTTTCTCTCCTCTTAATTTTTCTTGAACCCACTCTCAGTCAGGCTTTTACCTTCTCCACTCCACAGAAATTACCCATAAAAGTCAACAATTACTCTTCAATTGCTAAGTTCAATGATCAGTCCTCATCTTAATCAATCAATCAACAGTGTACAACCCAGGTGACCCCCATCCCACCCCCACCACACACTCCTTCGTAGATTTTCTTCACTTTAATTCCAGGAGCCCTCTACTTCAGACCGCTTCTTTTCAATGTCCTCCCCTGGTTTCTTCTCAACTACCAACACTCAAAACAACGGGGAACCCCGGAACTCAGTTGTTAGACCTCTTCTCTTTTCTGCTCACTCCCTTGGTGATCATATCTAAGTTCCTGGCTTTAAATACAATCTTTACATGATACTCCCAAATATTTTCCAACCTTGGTCTCCTCACAATTCCATATTCACACATCCCGCTGACGTCTAGATATGTCCATGAGGCTGCTGGCCCTAGCTCACCTCTGGGTGAGCTGGGACAGTCCAACACGGACCAGGAGGAGAGTGGAGGAAGAAGAACCAGTGAAGAGGTTTCCCTGTACCCTCCCCACCCCCACTCCACAACCTCCCCCATCTCAAGTGACAACTTGAGTCTTCTAAATGCTCACATCAAAAACTCTAAAGTCATCCCCTAACTCCTCTGACACCTCACATCCAATCCAATAGGAAATCCCACTGGCCTTCCTTTCAAAGGTCTCACTACCTCCACACTACCACCTGGTACAAGCCCCCATCGCCTCTTGCCTGGAATTCTGCAGCAGCCTCCTAAGTGTTCTCCTTGCTCTGCCCTTGCCCAGTTCAGTCTACTTTCAACACAGTGCTAGAATGACGCTTTTAAAATGTAAGTCCGATCACGGCTCTCCTCAGTTCACAATCCTGCAATTGCTTCTCATCGAAGGCCTCACAATGGCCGGCAAGGCCCGCCGTGATCTGGCTCCCACTGCCCCCTGACTGCGTCGCTTACTCCTGGGTTCCTCACATGCTCTGGGCCAGTCGCACTGGCCTCAAACACATTCACGCTTCAGGGCCTTTATAACTGCTATAGCTTTGGTCTTGAATGCTCTTCCCCTAGAAATCTACACAGCTCACTCTCTCACTGGCTTCAGGTCCTCACTTTAAAGACACCTTCCTGAGAACAGGCGCCTGTGCACTCTAAATTACCATCCAAATTTTATCTACCTGCTTTACTCTTCTCCACAGCACTTACCACTTAGCATGCTGCATGTTTTCCCTTAACTTATTTTGCTTCCTGCCAGCTCCCCCAGTGCAATGCAAGCTCCACAAGAGCAAACTTTTCAGCTATTTGGATCATTCCTGCACCGCCAGCACCCAGAACACTACCTGGCTCAAACTAAGCACTCAATAAATATTTGCTGAACTAATTTACTACTTAACCCTTTTTGGCTATGAAAAAAATTTCACACGTACACTACTTTGTTTCCAGAGGAAATAAAGTCAGCTGTCAAAAGGGTCTTAAGAAATCACTATTTTAAGGAAAACAAAATTGCAGATTTATCCCTATGTGAAATGGAAAAGGTAAGAAAAACACCTTTTGATTATTTGTAAAATGAAAATAAAAACAACTACTACCTTGGAAACGACCTACTCTGCCCTCCTAATTAACGTCACCTTCACATCCAGAGCCTGAGCCCTCCTGCAAACATTTCTCAACCCTCCTTCTTGGTTCCTTCTCAGGCCTTCTTTTCTCGGTTTTCATTAACTTTGATCTCCTCCCTGGCCTCAATCTAGGGCCTTTTTCCTGCTCTGCCTTCACTGGGTTTAGGAAACTGGGTAGAAATAGTGTTACCATTAATCAAGGCAGGGAATAAAGAGGAACAATAGTTTTAAGGAATAAAGAAGGCAAACTGTTTAAGAGGATGAAAGGAGGAACAGAAGCTAATTTAAGATTTAGACAGAAATCTTGGTGCCTGTGGGGCCTCTGTGTGAAAATTCTAATAAATTATTGGCAATACAGCTCTGGAGAACAACACAATGGTTCCAAAACAGAGATACACATTTCCGGGTCATAAACATATACTGGAGAAAGCTATGGGTATGGAGGACCTGGGGTACCCTAACACCAGTGGGGAGTATGGAGGAGGAAGAGCCAGTGAGGAAGGAGAAAAGGTCAAAGGAAGAAACCCAGGAAAACAGTCTTTCAAAAACTAAGTAAAAAATGTTCTAAGAAAGTGTTGGGATACGCGAAAGGCCTGGGTGAAATTGAAACCCAGTAACTAAACGGAAAAAAGGGAGGATAGGTAAAATAAGATTTCAGAAAGCATGAAACAAGTAAGAGAGGAGGACCCTAAGAGAAAGAAGAGCTAGAACTGGACTCACAAAGACAGAAAAACGTCTGAAGAAGGTAGAGCCATACTAGTGGACATTCCATTCCCACTTACATGGGAACCCTGGATATATAAAGAGGTATTAGATGCTATTAGCTCCTCACTAATCACATGAATCTATTGGGTTGTCGGAAAAGTCATGACGTATTTTTTCTATGTTTTTCGTTGCAAAAATGCATCATGACTTTTCCGACAGCCCAATAGTTCTCAGAGTCAGACATATCCCTTCTTTTACTTCCCCATAATCACAAGTCTAGCTGCCTGCAGTTCTACCTGGGCAACATCAAGTCCTTATTAGATTCCCACAGTGTGCCAGGTACTGAGTTCCATGCTTGAGATACTAAGATGGCTAAGACCTAGGCCCTAACTGGCTCCTCAAACGCTGTTCCTTCTATTCAAAGCAAGGTTAGTACACGGTAACAAAAATATCCTAACAGTTGAGGAGCACTCCTTCGAGAATGACAAACAGAACACAGATGATCACAATTCAGGTCAAAGACTCCATCACCTGCTTCACCACAATATTTAATGTTTTCCTTTCCCTAAACACATGAAGATCAGAGAGCCTCAACACTGACAGACAATCTGAGCCTCTTTTGGACGAGCAAAAAGCCCAGCACGATCCAATCTTCCAAGAAAAGTCTGAGGCAACATAGAGGAAGTTCAGGAGTTTGAAGGCTGGCCTATGTACCCTGCTGTTAGCTTTCATTTCTTGAGTCACTAGGTAGAAATCCATGCCTCACAGCACATCTGCTCTCCAGTATGAGTGACCCCCTCCGACACCACCTCTCACGCAAGCTGAGAATTTCTACTTCCGGTTTGGTTGCTTATTTATCAACAATGGCCACTTCCCTTCCTGGAGTGTCTTCCTTCTATACACATTCCTCCTTACATTGCTTCATACGCTTTCAAAGAGAAAGCTCAGAGAATTGACTCTACTTGGTTTCCATCAAGCCACAGTTCCCCTAATTAGAGTGCAAGGAAAAGTTTGTTTTCTATTTCCTGTAAATCTCTTTACAGTAGCTAATGCAATACTAGGTGAACAAGGAAGTAGGTAATCACAGCAGTGCTAAATTTATAACACTAAGTATAATAACTAAATTAATGTATTCATGATAGAATGCAGTTCATAATGGACTCGTTACCATGAGAACATTCTTTTTAATTTAATTGCCTTAACTGAGAAAATAACATAAAAGCTTGGTGGTTTTCCTTTTGTTTCTAAAGACAGAAAATAAATTCTGGTTCAAATACTGAAATATATTTTCATTTCCAAATTCAAATCAAACCACAAGATATATGAAATCGTAGCATCTAGTCCACGTAATCAGAAACCGCGTGCTCCCACACCTGTGTGGTCACTAAAGGCCAGTGCACCTGGAGTCCAGAGGTACCTGCGTGAGCAGAGGACACTGAAGCTTCCTTGTGTGACAAAGGATTAGGGGACGTGACTTGGAAATTGCTATGCCTTGACTTATGAAACTGGCTCAATACACCAATATTCATGAAAAGAGCACAAATTTGAAGGTAACTCATAGCTAACCCCTGCTTGCTTGCCGAAGGACTAAAAACAAAGGTCTCATTCATTACATGCTCACCCTCCTTTAACCATTTTTCTTGACTGAACCAAACTGGTAAGACAGATATAAATATTTCAAAAAGAGTTAAAATGGAATGTAAAATCGTTTTCTTTTGCTTCAAATGTGATAAAGAGAATAGAATGACTAAAAATCGATTAGCTGAATATGTGGTACCAGGAGGAGGAGTATATTCTTCTTCAGTCACTAGCCAGGCGTCTCGGGCAGCCACGGAACTAGTTCCTATCGCAGCACTGGTAATGGCTTCACCAATAGTAAATTGAAGTTCTATCTGCTTGGCCTGCAATGAAGGAGACGAAAGCCATGAATCAGAGAGAATATTGCCCCAAAACATCCATTTTATGGAAAGACTGCTGAATAATACCTGGATTCTCAGCATGTTTTGTTTTCACGCTTCCACCTGATTGCTTTCAGCTAACTAGGTGGTTCAGAAATGAGGTAGGGTGAGGGAATGGAGATGGTAAGAATGACTTAAAGATCTTTATCAAAGTACATGTTGCACTCCTCACTCTCAAAAGGAAACCACTACACAATGATTTTTAATCTTTGGAAGCACAATTCCATTTACTTGGGAGGAAGGTCATGGACTTTGAAGCCAGACAGATCTCTGTGCAAATTCTATAATAGCTTTGTCTCCCACCAGCTGCATACCCTTATTTAAACTCTGAGTCTTAACTTCTTCGTATGTAATATGAGCATAATACCATCACCCATTTCATCAGAAAGCTTCTAGTGGATACCTGATTTGTAGTAGCTGCACAATAAATAGCACCCATTATAATTTATTAACAACTCTTCTTTCAATCTTAAATTACATGATACCTGTAAATTATTCTCAAATGGATCAGAAAAAATAAAAAATGACAAAACAAATGTGATAAAATGTTAAAATCTGGTAACTCTTGATAATGGGTACAAAGGAATTCTTTACACTAGTCTTACAACTGCACTATAAGTTTAAAATTGTTTCAAAAATCAAATGTTAGAAGAAGTCTACACAGTATATAGTCAAATTTTTAACAATTCCATTTAGAAATTTTGACACTCTTCACAAGTATGAATCACTGACTCAATACAGAACTGCACCTGTCTTAGTTCCCTATGAATTGGAAGAAATTTTAAGAAGGGGGAATAAGACGAGAATAAAAAACAGAAAGCGTGAAAGATATGGGAATATGGACCTTTTCAAGAACTCTATAAAGCATACAGACAACTAGCAGCTCCTAGTCTCAACCAACCAGAAGCTCTAGTCTTGATAAGGTGTCAAATGCTGATATCATGTGCTTTCCTATTCTGAGACAAAAAAGAATTTAAGGGCTCCTGTCCCCCAGTTTTCCTGGTCAACTGTTTCTTCGGCAACTCTAAGCTGAGAAAAAGGTTATTTCAACACAGAAAATCCTATATTAGAGATTCGTTTTATGTGCTTGCTTTTTACATTTCTTCTTGTTAATAACAACAAAGTTGGCATTACAAACAAAAAACAAACTCTCTTACACCATTTAAGAACGATACAATATCTAGACTGCTTCACAGGTATTCTAGAAATAAAGAGGGAATCAACAGAAGAACAAAAAATAGGCACATGGGGATTCATTATACTATTATCTCTCTACTTTTGTGTATGTTCGATATTTTCCATAATAAAAAAATTAAATTAAAAAAAACTGTAGGGGCAGCCGGTTAGCTCAGGTGATTAGAGCACAGGCTCATAACACCAAGGTTGCCAGTTCTATTCCCGCATCAGCCACTGAGTTGCGCCCTCCACAACTAGACTGAAACAACTACTTGACTTGGAGCTGATGGGTCCTGGAAAAACACTGTTCCCCAATTAATAAACAAAACCAAACAAAACAAACTTTAGAACTTTCAATAGCAAGTTAAGAATGTAGACAAAACTTCATTTATTTAAACAAAACTGGAAGAAACCCATCTCTCTCACAGATTTAAAAAAAGAAAAAAGGTAAAAAAGCAGACATCATAAGCTTTCCAAGTGGTTACAATGTCAGTGACATCCACAGAGAACCTGATATGAGCATAATTCACTATCAAAACAATTCACCATAAAACACTGATGAATTAAGAACCCAGAGCCCTGAACTGTGACACCAGCCCCATCACTGAGCTGCCTCAGTCCTCAGCCCCAACCCTCCTCCTGCCCACCCTTCGAAGCCCAGCAGCAACCTCACCTCCAAACAGCCTGCACCAACTCCCCCAGACAGAAGTGTCCTCCTTTGTGAGTCTACTGCCTTATATACAAATGGCGGTTCAGGTTCAGTTACTCTACCAGTGTTTCTTGAGGTCCTACCATTAACAATCACACTGCTAGGCACTGGTTCTATAACGCGGACCAAAACAGACTTTGCCTTCAGTCTAGTGGACAATTAGACACTGTGATAAACGCTATGAAGAAAAAATATGGAGTGTCATGACAGCACAAATAACCACAGAATCTAGTTTGAAGGGTCGCAGAAGGCTTTTCAAGGGGCTCAGCAACGACCCGAGAAAGAAGGAAATATGGGTCTTTCAAAAACTCAGAACAGGGCCGGCCGAGTGGCTCAGCTGGTTAAGAGCTACGCCCGCCCGCAACTAAGGTTGAACACGGCACCTTGAGCCGAGCAGCAGCGAGTTGCCAACCGGCGGCCGGATGGTGACTGGACTTGGAACTGAGCTAGCTGCACCCTCCACAACTAAGACTGAAGGACAACGACTTGGCTGTTCCCCTTCCCCAATTCCCCAACACTGCTCCCCTTCCCCAATTCCCCAATAAAATCTTTAAAGAAAAAGGTCAGAGCAAAGGAGGACGGAGTGGCTGGAGTACAAAAATGTGAATGACAAGCGTCAAGGCTGGCTCAGGGGCTAGATCGGGCTGTGCTGAGACACTTCTCAAAGTGGGCAGCAGCTGTCAAAGGGCAGGTCTCCTCCACTGCAGGGGCATTTATCTAGAGGACAGAAGCTAAGGCATCAGACACAAGAGCACAACTGGAATACCACATCCAGGTGACTGAGTCGGGTTCCCCTTTTACCCATACTGCACCGTACTTTACTCAAAATTCATGAGGAACAAACTTTTCCACATAAGTGATTTAGTCAGTGCTATGCCCACGACGGTGATGAGCCCAAGGCTGGCATTCAACAAGTTCTTAGTGAATAAATAAATAAAAGTTTAATTTAAAGTCTCACAGCATGCAATAGTCCAACTTGAAAAAAAAATAAAAAGCCTTTTGTTTGAATGGCTAACAATCAGATAACAATATAAATACCTCCACAGAGTCCATCAGGCCTTGCAGGAGGAGTTTCTGGTGAGGAAAATCTCCATCCCCGACTGGGAAATATCCCAGTGTTTGGATTGCTCGTTCTTTCATCTGGAAGAAGAGAGGATTTTTTGTTAAACAAAGTATATCACAGCTTTATCCCAGAACAATGTTTCCAAAATGAGATGACACGGAGGGGCAGTCTGTTTAACTAACACAGCAGTTTCGGTTTTTTTTAAAGTATCCAACTTTACAAGACATTGAAGGGAGAAAAACATAAAACTGAGTCCACAGCTACAAAAGAAGAAAGCAAAATGCCGTTAATTAGGTATTATTCTTCAAACTATAACCCTTAAAAATGGAGGTTCTGGACCCACAGGACCTAAGATCAAGTCACACAAACTGACCACTGCAGTGGCCGTTACAGGTGTGTGACCTTAGGCAAGTTACCTCACCAGGGACCCTATTTCTTCACCTGGAAAACACAGATGACAACTGTACCTACCTGACTCGACCTTTTGGAGGGTTCAATTAATGTATGTGAAGCATCCAGCATATGCCTGGTGCATCACAAGTGCTCAACAACGGCTGGTAACGATTATTTAGTTAATAATAACTAATGAAAACTACACTGTTGTGATCTCAGAAACTTTTAAACAGTAGTTAGATCAAGAATAAGAATTACAGGGCCGGCCGAGTGGCGCGATGGTTAAGAGCTGGCTTGGGATGCCAGAGGGCCCCGGTTCAGATCCCACATATGAGGGCCAGTGACACTGCCCTCTACAGCTAAGATGCTGAACAACAGCTCAACCTGGAGCTGGGCTGCCGTGAGTCGCTGGCGATGGCGTGGGCTGCAGTCCCTGTGGCAGTGGGTTGCCATGGGCTACCGTATGTAGCCAGCAGCCAGCGTGAGCGGCCAGCAGCCGCAGTGAGCGGCCGTCCAGAAGCCGGCGACTGATCTGCCTTGCCAGGGAGGAGCGCAATGATGGTGCCAACTTGGGCCAGTGAAGCAGCGTCCTCCACAACTAGATTGAAGAACAAAACGACAGCAACTTGTCTGTTCCCCTTCCCCTAATTTCCCAGTACTGTTCCCAACTCCCCAATTACCCAATAAAAATCTTTAAAAAAAAAAAAAAAAGAATAAGAATTACATGGTTACTGAACTTGTAATAAAATAATTTTTCTGTTGATTAAATCATCTCATACTTCAACACTGAGGAGCTGACCACAAAGAAAATGTTTTCAAGTCTATGAAAATTTTTATCTAGAACTAAAGAACTACAAATGTCCTTTCCCTCACAGATGACTCACACTGCTTAGTAATGCCCAGACATAAAACCAAACTGGCTGTAGAAGGTTAAAATTTAGATTTGGTCTGAAGTAACAAAAATCATAAAATTATTTAACACTTTATTATCCACCTTTTGCATGACAAAAGAATTACTTGATGCATTTAACACTTTAACCAATTCTTAATAGTTATGAGCCTAAATTGGAGTAACTGGGTCAAACGGTACACACGCAAATGTTATGCAAAAATCATCCCTAACTTGAAATTAAACAAATATTTGGTTGTCGGAAAAGTCATGACACATTTTTGCAATGAAAAACAGAAAAATACGTCATGACTTTTCCGACAACCCAATAGTCACCTTGACTTTCCTCCTCTTTATCATTCCTTTCCACATTAAATCCTTCCTCCAGCTGCAATGCCATCTATCCTCACTACTATTGTGTCATAAATATATGAGCAAAGATGTATATACAGACATACATACATAGGGTGCCAAAAAATGTATAGACACTTTAAGAAAATAAAAAACTGTATTAACTGTAATACTCAATATATACCAATAACAAAAGATGAATACAAGTCACTTTTGACTTCTGCAATTACAAGAGGTGCTCAAAGTGGTTACCATCAGCGTCCAGACATTCTGATTACAGCGAACTACTGCTTGAGCAACGTTGACCAAAGTGTCCACCTGTATACACTGTTTTGGCACCCCCAGTATATACATGCATATATATGCATATATACATACATAAACAGAGAGGGAAAAATAGAAATAATTTCAGAAGGGAAGGAAAAAGAAGAGACTTGCCTTATTTGTTTCTTTACTAGAGGGTATTCTGTTTAGTAAGCTTTCCACAAGATGTAATTTGGTGAAGCCAGACCCCTCACTGGGGATTGGGAGTGGGCCATTTCTGCCAATTTCACCCAGGGCTGTACAGGCAGCGATTGCCAGGAGTGGCGATGTGCTATCCAGAAACGATCCTGCAAGCACATTTAGACAAAACTGAGAATAAAATACTATTACCCCTGTAAACCAAAGCAACCAGCAATGTCCTCAAGGTTTTGTTAAAGACAACAAAACAAAATCGAAGTCTACAGTATCTTCTAAATAGATGATAATTTGTTATCGTTTACTCGGCAATAAAAATCATGGAAACAGGGCAGAGTAGTGTCCTTTTTTAATGTTTAAAGTTTTTCCCATAACAGAATCATATTATATAGAAAAATACAGGAAAAAATGTACAGAAAAAGAGTATTTGTATTGTTATTAAACACACAGAATTTATTTAGCATTGAATAAAGTTTATAAAAAGGACTGTGCCTTTAAAGTTCACTGCTGTAAAAAGAAAATGAAAATGCTATATTAAATTTTAACCTAATTAAAAAATTGCAACGTTCAAGTCAGCATGAACACACTAATTACCTATTGTTTCTGTGGCACTCTGGATGAGTTCCTCTTGTTCAGGCAGGAAATCAGCATTTGTCTCCAGGCCTTGTTGTTCTGCCATTCTCATTTTCTTTTTAGCCAAATATCTTCCTACTGTGAATCCCAATGCAAGCAAGGATCCATGCTGTATCTCTGGGCTCTGAGTGTAACAACACAATAGCATATGTTTCTGTCTCTCTCTCCCATGTGCAAGAATGCTCTGAAATAACTGTGTATTTATTAGTCTTCACTCCAACAAAACATAAGGCCAAAGAATAAAGTGATTGTTTGAAGTTCCCCTGGTTGCTAATGAATCAGGCTTAGGGATCAAGAGAAATTGACTTTCTAACACAGATAATTCTGAGAAGTTAAACTGAGTCTTGATTGACTTTAAGATTTAGATTCCTTAGTCCACTCCCACTCCAGCTCTGGGGGAGGTGATTGTCTTGCGTGCTCCTATAGCACCCAAACTTTCTTCTAGCTTACAGCACTTACATAACTACATTATATAATTTACAAGCATAATTTCTCCCTACTGCCAACCAAAAACATAAACAGACCCTATTTCTAATTGCTAAAACCTCCAAACACAAGGTAGGTAATGAAATATTTGAAAGCACATGGCTTGGACAGTGTTTTCTGATAGGGCATGCACAATGATAAATAAGCAGAAGTAGATGGGGAATGAACATTAACGGTGCACACTTGGATCTGGATGAAGCCATTTCTAAACATAATGACATTAGAGCTCACTCATGTCCGTCAATTTTGAAAAACAAACATACTTAAGGCATCTTTTCTCTGCTAATAGTATCTTTTTTCCTGGGTGTAATTATACGTATGTTTCAATAACAGTTGAAGGGTTTTACTTATGATGTGCAGATTTGATTATTTTGTGGTACTTTTGGAATTTTAAAAAGGTCCTTTTTCAAGAAAACAAGTTTCTCTGATGATATAAATCACATTAAAAAATTCTTACCTCTGTTGCTGTCTAGAAATTACATAATGAAACACAAAAAATTTTAATTTAAATTTTTTGCTACAGATGACATTTCTTCATTTTTACATTTGTAAAAGTAAAATTGAATTTTATCATCATAAATTAGTGTTTAAATATCTGTTTTTCTTAGGATACAAGGAAGTAAACCCAAACAAAAGTTCATGTGACTAAGTACTATTGATCATAGCAGATACTATTTTACGTGTTTCTATTTCTTGCTAATGAAGGCAGAACAAGACAGTGGCCTATTAATTTGAATTGAGTGGAAGGCCTTAAAGCTTTATTCCAAAACAATTCCTCAGGGACACCAGCTTTGGCTCCATCTTTCTTTTACCTGGCTTCACATATGAAACGGTAGTTTTACTGAATTAAAAAACAAGTGGTACACATTTTTATGACAGCAGCACAGGAATCTTGCCAATTAGCAATTGGATTCTGTGAAGATGAGATACTAGATTGTGTTGGGATGTGTGTGGGAACCTGGGCAGGGTTCCTTCAATTTGGCTGTGTGGATGAGACAAGCTCTAGATTAGAAAAGGCAGAACCTAGTGATGGAAAGGATGAATAATGTGGAAGTTGACAGTTTTCCTTGAACTCAACTACCAGAGTAAGTTGCCAGAATGTGACTGCTGAAGGACAAAAGGAAGTATGAAAACTAGAACAGACTTTAATCAAAGGACAACCAGAAGGACACAGTTAATATTGTGTCTTTGTAAATATTGTGTCTTTGAAGTATGGAGGTAAGATTGCCAAGTAATTGCTGGTAACGCATTTCAAGTGGCAGTTTTTTCACTCCTCAACCTACCATTCACATTAGGCATGTATCAGATGTTTCACTGAGTCTTAGAAAATAATTTTTTGTCCACTATAGATATTTTACATCATGTAAAACATAATAAATTGGTGTATATTTTTAAAATTAAAAAAAAAAGCAGCAGATGGGGAAGAAAAAAGGAACTAATATTTCTGAGCAACTAATACCTAAAACAGTGCCTATCAAACACAAGGCATTCAAATTTGTGGAATGAACTCACTCAATGTATTATCTATCTCATTAAATCTTTATAATCATAAAAGTTCACTTTACAAATGAGAACACAAAAACTAAAAATGCATTAGAAGCTTTTGTAAAACTCTTAATATCGCCCACAAAAAAGAATGAAGATCAAACTGGTAACATACATGATTATCTTTCGTAGTCTTTACAAGCTGTTCTATCATTGACTTCAACTCATTTCCTGACACTGTAGAGACCACCACAGAATAAAACAATGCTGCCAGCTCACGCATCTCTTCTTTACTGCTATTCATCAGACTCTGGGCAACGTAGAAAGAGAAACATATACATGATATGTAATCATCCTCCTGCTGATAACATCTAACATTTAAAATTAAAAGAATAAATGATATTGTTCAATCTATTGGTATCTGTGAGAAAAGAACACAAGCTACACTGAAAAATAAAAATTAAGTTATATACCAAAATCTTCTGTGCATTTCCATCAAGGATACAAAGTATAGACAAATGGAATTAATACACAGATGATCTAAAACAGAAGTCAACAAATGTTTTCTGCAAAGGGCCAAATAGGCCCTGTGGGCCATGTGGTCTCTGTCACAATTCTATTTTGCCACTGATGTGAAAAAGCAGCCACAGACAATAGATAAACAAATGGGTCTGTGTTCCAGTGAAACTTTATGGACACTCTAATTCTCAAATGTCAGAAAACGTTATTCACCCTTTGATATTTTTTCAACCATTTAAAAGTGTAAAAACCATTCTTAGCTTGCAGGCCTCTATCTACAAGATCAAAAGTCAAAAACTCTCACATCATTTTAAAATCAGCAAATATTCACAAAGAATTAAAACCTTTTTAAACTAGAAGCAATTTCATGAGAGGTTTTCCAGAAAAGTGCAAAACTCATAGCTCTTGGTAAGTTACATTCATGTTTTCACACATAAAGAGATAATCTGTACATTTTACCATGATTCAAGTAGCATTTTCAAAAAAAATAAAAAAATACACAATAAACAAAAACTGCATTATGGAACACAAGAGATATAGAAAACTGTATGGGCCATACCTGCACTAAAAAAAGTATTCACTGTTTAACTGAAATTGAAATTCGAATGTAACTGAGCATCATGTATTTAGACTTGGTAAATCGAGCAACCCTTTTGGTGTGACCACGGGACAAGCACACTCTTACGTGGCTGGTGGGAGTATAAATGGTACCACTCTATGGAGGATGTGCACTGCTTATCAAAATTGGAAAAGCATGCGTCCTCAGTTCCCCTTCCAGGGAGTGCATCTAAAAAATATACTTCCTCATCTTCAAAATGATGAACTGTTCATTGCGGCAGACCGGTAGTACCTAAATGACCATCAGTTTTCCATACAAAGGAAAACAATGAAGCTATTCAAACTAAGCGAATGTTTTCTCTGTAGTTATATAGGAATACCTCCACGTTCTTGTACTAAGTGAAAGTAGTAAGGTATAAAATAGTGTGAAAACTGTGCTACCTTTTGTGTGAAAGAAGGGAAAAAAATAAAAAATTATTTTTTTCTTGTGTATATATGCATAAATAAACTCAAGAAGATATACCATATATGAATAAGTGATGACCTAGGCATATATGCCAGGTGAGAGAGGAAGATGCAAGAAGTTGGGGGATTTGGTGAGGTGGGAGATGGCTATAGAAAAATGACATTTTACATATTTTTTTCTTTAAACTATACAAATCTATTAAACTCTTAAAACAGAAAAATAATTATATTTTACTCATATGCCTCTTAATTCATCTCCCTCTCACTAGATTGGACCACTGAGACACACTGACCTACATGCTTCTCAGGAAGCGTGATGATGAGTTTTCAAAATGACCTAAAGGCAGAACAGGTCATAGCAACACTGGTAGGAAGACAAAATCATAAGGCTAAAGCTTAAAATACACAGAATCAAAGAGCAATATGCACAGAAAATACCTTTATCCATTCTGTTTTGTCTACAAATTTGGTAGCCAACTTTTCCGGATACACTGAGACAGCTTCCAAGAGACAGTACATGACTGGCAAACCTAAAAAATAAAAAATTCAGAACCATTTAATTTCAAAAGAGGTTATACACATACAGAGATCACTAAATTCCTTAAAGGATAAGGCTACCACTTCAGGAAGCATTCCCCAGTTGTACAAAACAAAAATAAACCTAAATACAGTATGTGATTCAATACAGCAAATTTACAGACTACTTGTCTATAAAAAGATGCCCTGTTCTTCACACCCACTTCCAAGGTAAAAATATATTATCTATTAATACCATTTCTTTCTGAAAAGACAAACAGTATATCAAGGATGAATCAGATAAGTTTAGAAGAGAAACAAAGGCTCATGTTCAGTTACAGTAGTGAAGAGAGAAAATAATTTTGCTACCAATTCTCAACTGAGTTTAACGTTAAATTTTTGCTGAAGTGCTTTAATATCTGTCCTCAGCATCACGACCTCCTACCTCCAACGCCGGCGAGCAGCTGCTGCAGCAGGCCAATGTAGATCTGAACAGGGTTGGTTTCTCCACTCTTGGAAGAAGAGGAAGTCGCCTGGTTGCCTGACATTAAAGTTCGTATGTAGCGTCCAATGGCTGGGGCGTGATCTTGCATATCAGCCAAACTCTGAGAAGTGGGCACCACTCCTGCACTGTGAGCTAGGCACATTCGTAAGTACAGAACTATCTAAAAACAGGAAGAATAAGAACACCAGATACATTTCTCAAAAAATCAATGTGGGAGAATGTTCTTCAAAGTGACAGTTTCTGCAACACAAGAATTTGAGAAAATGGGTTCAAATCATCTACACAACAGTAGATACAAAGCCATAAAAACCCGATACAAGCTGGTTACTAAGGAGTCCTCTGGAAGCTCTTTCTTGATAGCTAACATAGGTGAGGCAGTAATTACGTTGTGAGTATTCTCACTCACTCTGAACGAGATTCTCTCTTCTTATTTAAGTAATACAAGTCAGTGAACTAAACAAAAGAATTTCCCTTGGTAAATGGTAAACGGATCTCACTCTCCAATCTTCAAAAACTAGATGACCCAAAAAACCTCAACATATTGGATAAGGGGGGTGAAATTCAGTACATTAATAACATAGTCAGACTTAGCTAAACTTGGCAAGTTTGCAGTTTGACTCACCGCATAGCTCACTATCTAGCCACCTGTAATCAGACTTAGTTTGTTTGCAGTTTGATCCATCCTGATATTCATCTGTTTTCTTCTTGTTTCTCCCCTCACTGATTAACTGAAGAACTCTGTTTGTTCTTTTTTCTCAAGTAAACCCATACCTTGTTAACAACAACCTAACCTGGAAAACAGCAATTTCTTAATCTTCAGGTGCCCAGACACCAGACACTGGAATCCAATTTACAACTCCCTTGCAGTATTTACTAGTGACACATTCAAGTCCCAGGCTGCTATGGCCGAGTCCAAGTCCAGAGTCCAGAGATAATATCATCTCCAAACAGACCAGATCCCAGGAAGGATGTCAGCCCTCAAACCTGCCTGACCGACTCCCCCTTTCCTATGTAAGAAAAAGCTAACCTGAACTTAGGGGCAGCTGTCCACTCTGACTCTGGACTCTGCCCCAGCGACCGCCCTGCCCCACCCCCGCCGGTGTTTCTCTCCTTACTACCCGAGGCAGCCATCATCTTTGGACACTGCCATGGGCATTTCCTCTCTGCCCTAACTTTAATAAAACCTTTCTTCACTCTCCCACTTTACAGAGTCTGTGAATGCTTTCACCTTTTGCGAATGACCAGGGGTTAATTCCACGCCACGACATTGATGGCTTTGAAATTCCAATCTAATTTGCTATAAAATCCCAACAGTAATCAATGCAGAGCATCTACTTCTTTTCGGAGAAATCTCACTGAGATACATGTATTTAAAAACTCCACTACAGGGCTGGCCGAGTGGCTCAGTTGGTTAAGAGCTCGCTCAAGAGTTTGAGCTCTCAGCAACAGCAGTTCGATTCCCGGCCTGACCTGAGCAGCCGCTGAGCTGCCAACAGGTGGCAGGATGGCTCAGCTTAAAAAAAAAAAAAAAAAAAAAAAAAAAAAA